TGCAGCGCAAACATCAGAACTTCATGCAAGACCTACAGACGCTTCAGAACCAAGTGCAACAGATCCAAGAGGAATCGGACAAGCTTCGACCCAGCTATGCGGACGACGGAGCTAAAGAGATCACAAATAGAGAACAAGAAGTGTCTGCGTGGGCCAGTTTACAAATGGTTTACAATGGTTGAACAGCGCAAAGGAAAACTGACCGATACTGGCGATCTGTTAAAGTTCTGCAATCTGGTGAGGATGCTGATGCAATGGATGGACAACGTGGTGCGCCAAGTGAACACCAGCGAAAAGCCGCGCGACGTCGGCGGCGTTGAACTGTTGATGAGCAATCAGAAGAGCCCTCAGGCAAAATGTAAAGTTGTCCACCTTCACCGTTTGCCCAGATATAACCATGATCCAGGAATTACCTAATCGGGGCGATCAGGGTTTAGAAGGGGGGCAGTGTAACGGAAATGGCCTGGGGTACTCACGTTTGGAATGGGGGATCGAAATTCATGGTATTTCAGTAAATGGGAGCCCCATTTACTGTCAAATATGACACTGACAAGCGGGAAGTTTCGCACCTGTTCTGGAGATTTCGAGAACTATCTGGGATACCCGGAGGAAACTATATAAGCGACGACGAGAACCACACAGGGGAAGTGAAGTGACAGCCGCGCCTGAGTGCAGAAGAGGTTAAACCCCGCGAGTCGAAAACGCGTGTTTTCCGTGTGTTATTGTTATTGTTTGTGAAGTTGACGGTAACTTTGAAGTTAGTTCATTCCTGTTCCGTAGTTAAAGTTGTACCGAGTGGAATAAAAGTTGGAAGCAGAAGAGATAGTTGGTTACTCGGCCATCCACGGTACAATATATTAGGAGACATTAGTTGTAAATGTACAAAAAGGCTGCACGAAATCTTGTAGTTGCAACAACAATGCATTTAGCTCTATTGTATCGAAGGCTTTGTGGCTACTAAAGGCAAACAATTTTGAATCAATCTGTATAATATAAAGAATATTTCGTGATTCAAATAATCATCCACACAATGTTGTTAATGTTACACAGTAGTTAAACGAACATTTGGCACTCTGGATTAAAAGGTTTGGGCACTGCAGATGACCAGAGAATAGCCGAGAGTTGACCATTTTAGGTAATTATCTTTGGAGGTTTTTAAAGATGTTTAGTTGGGAAATCGAATTTTACTAACGCGGAAGCGTATGGATATGTTGCGCATTTAATAAAAATATAAATGTTAAATTACATAATAAAAAGCAACAAGCGGTAAATAGAATTAGGGAAATACAAACCACCGTAATGGAAATATCAAATGGAATATATGAAGAAAACTGTGGATGTTATTATGACAGTTTTAGCTCGTATCACCCTTTTCCGAGATACCAAGACTTTTTGTTTTTTTGGTAGAAGTTATGCCCCCTAGCGATTGAGCTACGAACTTTAATACATGTTCCAGCCATTTTTATGCCAACTAGACAACCAACCAAGATAACCCAAACTAACCCAAACCGCTAGTCCTTACCGTTGTCGAAATACAGCCGCTCTTTACCCTTATCGGGACACCTTCTATATGTATGAGTACAAGAAAGATTTGAAAAATAAATGTAATAATTAAAAAATACAGTGGGATGTTTTTTAATTTTTAGAAAAAATGTCTGACACTTGCTCTTGATGGTCAAATTTCTTCAAAAAAAAAATTTGCTTTGACAATTAAACTCGCTGTGAATTTGTTCTTATGTAAGACTCAGAATTTTGATGCACCCCAATTCATCCGCTTTGAGCAAATGGTGCTTGAAGCAATGGTTTGAGCCTCTTAGCACGAAAGCTACCTGAACTTTTTATTTGGTTGCCGGAATCAACTGAATTTTTTAAATTGATGCACCAATCATTTGTAAAGGTGTGTTAATAAAATAATTATTTGCATTTTCGCGCCATTTAACAATTATAATTTCCAAAAACTGATATAAAATAATCAAAAATCATCGTTCAAAATAAGAATGTCAAAGGGGCGATGTATTTATAATGAGTAACCCTGTACTGAAACTTTTTTGCATAAAAAATATGGAGTTGCTTGCTAGTACTTACTTGGCACACAACTTCTGCAGTCAGATAGTACTAAATGAACTGCAAAGAAAAGTATGCAATCAACATAGCTAATTTTTCAAAATCAACTTAACCTACCTACAAAAATTAAGATCAGCATTAGCACATACGCCTCTGTAGCAGATTTCCTCTCTTTCGGTATGGTTTTAGGAAAATAATATTTATCACCTTTCTGGAAAACCAATACCTGAAACCAAAGTTGTTTTACTACACAAGGTTATTCAGATTATACGACACGGAAGATTGCGTCAAAACTATTTAATTTTATAAAGTAATATTTTACGGATAAATTGAAGCTCGTTCGGGGTACATAAAAAAATATTTTCTAATGTACAGGGTGTCCAATTACTAGATTCAACCCAAATTTATTATTATTTTTCTTCTTTGGGTGCCATGTGCTATGCTACAGGTCGGCGATAATTTGTCCATTTCATGGTCACAGAATAGCTAGGGTGCCCTCCTCAGCCTGTCTAAAAATGCTTGCGGCGTCCCAACCAATTCTTCCCTTCACTTCTTCATCACATTGCCACTTTTCATTTAGAGAAGCGCCAAGATAGGTAAATTTGGCAACACGTTCAATATTTTCTCCGTTGATATTGAGAGTGGTAATATGCTGATCTCTGTTAATCACTATCATTTTTGCTTTGGTATTATTTATATGTAGTCCGAACTTTTCACCACATTCGTTGATTTTATTTAGTATTGACTGAA